TCAATTTCACATCACAGTACCTACCTACCACTACTCCTAATTGTAGTCCTACGGGGAACCCCGTAGCAGCCAGTGAACACGGCTCTGGCTCGGAGCCAAGTTCAAATCCCAGATGCAATCAGATCAAAAGAATAAAATAATTCTGAATTACTTGGAGCCGGCCAGCTCAATGATGATATCTTTTTTTTTTTTCTTTTTTTTTCTTTTTCTTTTTTTTAACATGCCCCCACCAGTGCTAGTGGTGCTGATAAGAGCAGACACCACTACTAGCACCTGGGGAGAGGCTCCGTCTATTGGTGGGGAGCATCACCTGCTGGAAAATGGGTCCAGCGTCCCGTATACAGACTGAATTTGGAGTATAATAGTATATCAGAGAAGCAAATGCGGGATATTCCTGCCAGCATTGATTACCCTGGGATCCAGGGGATTGACTGAGCAGGATATCAGGAGGAGGGGGGGACCTCTTCACCCTGGACCTGGCAGCGGATACCTGCTGCTACACACTGGTTCCTCCCTCCCCTTACCTTTTTTTAGATACACCTTTATATATGCCGCTGTCCTACTTATACCGCAACCTCTGAAGCAGATGTCATAGTCTCTCTTGATCGTCCCCTCGTTGCCTTCCTTGGTGCCTTCATTGCCTTCCTGGGCCCAACCACCATCCCACTTGATGCAGGCGATCCGGCCCCGTTCTCGTTGCCCAGCCAGTCCCCTGAAAATTGATGAATTTTCTGTTTTATATCTTTCTGTGTCTGAAACAGATCCGGCTGAATTTTAACTCTCTGCCATTGTGCCATAAGTTCTTGGTGTATATATTGTTTAATCATGTCTGTCATTCCCCTCCCCGGCTATGCGGACCCCCTCCATGGCATGTATTACAGCGTCTCCTGCAGATGGCCCACATAACGGTTCTCCTCCCTATCTTAAACATATTGTTTTCGAAGGTACTACCTGAAGGGGAAGTCCATGCCTCACATAGTATCGCCCTCCAGTCCCATGGCCAGGTCGATCTAGTGTCCAACAGGTTCCAGATTCTGTCCCACTATCGCCATGTAAGAGCAGCCCCCGGACACTGCAAGAACATGTGTTCTATGGTTTCCGGGATCTTGCGGGAGGGGAACGCCGCATGGCACAGCTTGTACCACGGGAGCGCCAGGCCGTTCTGTTCCAGGTATGTGCGATCTATTGGCCAGTCGTTGGTGGGGAGACAGCGGTGTTCTACCTGCCACTGCAGCAAGGGCAGCTTTGCAGGCCTGGACCGCATGAGGGTGAACCACCGAATGGGGCGGACGGCGTCGACCCCAACATTCAAATGAGACCTCCAACGGGTCTTCACATAAGGTGATCACCCTTATAAAAAAAAGGAGGAAAGGGCAGAAAAGGAAGTTGCCTTCTAAAATTAAAAAAAAAAAAAAAAAAAAAAAAAAAAAAAAAAAAAA